GTACGTGTGCGTGTATATATGTTTGCGTACGTGTGCGTGTATATATGTTTGCGTACGTGTGCGTGTATTATATGTTTGCGTACGTGTGCGTGTATATATCCACCACCACACAGGCGCTAACGCACCCTGTCAACACTATTGACTGGGGCAGTGCAGCAGCGGACGGACCAACTCACGACGACAACATTGGACCTCCGTCGCCGATGCCTCGCCTCATTTACGGCAGCTGTCCAGGACAAACCATGTATAGTGACTGGACGTCATTTTTCAATGATGTCATCAGGTTCCGCCGACTCAACCCGGGATTTACCGTCGTACAAAGCAGTGATGGTGCGTGCGCGATACAAATAGTCCCAATCGAGCAGGCTCCGCTATTGGGCGTAGCACTCGAGGACCAGTAGGACTACCCACGACGATGGACAGCACAACCCCCACGCCGACTCCCACCACGAAGATGATCAGCACCATCACCACAGCGACGACCCCCACGGCGACGACCCCTCACCACGAGGATGACCAGCAACCACCCCACGACGACGGACCACGGAGGACCACGAGACGACGGCTACGACGCCAGATTATTTTTTTTTTTAATTTAAATATATAAATATATATATATATAATTTATCTCTCTCATGACTAGCGTCATCACTGTATAGACACGTCTGACTCATACAGCTGGCTGCGCGTCACCATAGACGGACCGTATCCTCTTACGTGCCCTCTCCATGACTCTCCGTCTTCAATGTAGAAACGCGGCGGAAACGTAACACGCGAAATCAATATAGGGTCTGTGTGGCTGAAGCGAGTTAAAGATTACTGTTTCCACTACGGCAGGAGTGAGATCAGCGTAGGGAAAAACAAGCCGACGTCGTTAGGATGGTACGAGTTAAAGCCGGCATTAGCGTCTAACATGGGCAGCTGCTGGTGCATGCTGCATGATTGCTAGGCTCCCACAATAGACACGCTGTCATGCAGCGCACACAGGCCCATGTTTTCCGCCGGCTTGTGACATTAAAGAATTGTAGACGCATCCGACGAGAGAGACAGAGAGAGAGGGAGATGAGAGAGAGAGAGAGAGAGAGAGAGAGAGAGAGAGAGAGAGAGAGA